AGACTTGACTCAGGGACATTTAAACTTAGGGACACTCTTGATGCACCAATTACATCCACATCTTGGGGTCTCACTGTATTGTAATGTGGTAGTGCTGAGTGACACTGGAAATGCAGAGACAGCATGAAAGCACTGAAGCAACCTAGGTGTTGAGCAATAAATTAAATGTTGTCCTTCTGCTTTCACCGCCTCTTTCCACTGCCAACTAAAACTGAATTCAGTATTTTACTGTACTATACTGTACTACTGTATTGGGTAGTTGGGTTTGCTGTGGGGGTCTGGCAGAAACCCTCATCCTGTTTGTGTCCAGCCTTTTTTTTGTGTGTCTAATTTTTTCGGTATGGGAGAAAAGAGAGACTGAGAGAGAAAGCTAGGAGGGAGAGGAATTTCTTTGGGGTTAAGGGCGGCGGTTGGGGTTTTCGGGGTTCCCCTGTGTGTCCATCCATCCATCCAATCTAGCGATGTTATCGAATGTCTGCCTATGAGGGCAACTGGGAAAGGGTTTTGTTGGTTGGTTGGTTGGTTGGTTGCATCTTGGTTTGTCTCGCCAAAGCGTCATTATTGTGTGTCTGAATTTTAGTGGGACAGCCAAGGTTTTCTTTGTTTCTTGTTATGTACTGTACTACAATACTGTTACTGTATCTACATTACATTTTTTTTATATTCCTTCGGCCATAGAATGAATTTTGTTGTAGTTGTAGAGGGTCTCTTGAGGGAAATTGCGTTGTGATGATGATGATGATGCCATGCTTAGTTGGCCATGCGTCAGGTCTTTCGAGTTGACCACCTGACCAAATGATTCCTTGCAGCACCCCTTTGAGCAACACATGTGAATATGAGGCACATTGAATTGAATTGAAAAGCAAAGCTTTATTTCCCGCTTTTCGGCGTTCACAAGGTTCAAGCAATGTTCCCATATCCCATCCCCCTTCCATCCCCACCCACCTTCTTCACGTATAAATGGAAAACACAGAAACAAGAAGTAGATGGATATTAAAAGAAAAGAAAATACATCTCAATAATTAATAATACATACACTTACCTTCCCTGATAACAAAAACAAAATATCAATAATAAGAATTCAATATAAATACAGTAAAATCTTGTTACAACAAATACCATTAAAACAAATTTTTCAGTGCTGTATAACGAACTTTTTTCAAAGTCCCGGCAGAAATCCTGTAGGTAGGGTACATGTTATAAAAATATTGTTGGAACAAACTCACCAATTCCATTATAAGAAACTTTTAAAGGAACATGTGATTTCTTGAAAGAAAAATTCCCAATGAATGCAGGCAAAGTCTCAAATTTCCTATTCAAAATGTGACTTTGATTGGTTCTTAGGACATGCAAGTAAAGTTGAATCAAGGTAAAAAAAAAAAAAAATTCAAAATTTACCTGAACATCCTCTCTTTCAAAAAAAAATGTTCGTGGGTTAGGAAAGATGTTGGGGGGGGGGGGGGAAG